GAAAACTAAGCAGAATTTCAGTTCAGTCTCAGAAGGGCACCTATCACACAGGTTCCTGCCAAGGGAGAACAGGTCTGAGCTGTGTTATGGATTCCACACTCTGACCATGGGCAATGTGCCAGTTTCTTTTTCCTTCCAGGTGTACAGAACTTCAAGACCTAGTTGGCATGTGGTACTTGAAATGTCAAAATACAGTAACACTACAAATTAATGTACATGATGTATACATATAATGTATGTGATTAATATTTATATATATTAATGTGTGTATAAAATACATTTCTTATTTGTAGACCAGATTCAGTAAGGCAAAAATAATCAACACATTTTCCTATATCAGATGTTAATTATAAGTAACATTAACACTTTTCTCTCTCCCTTTATGTGTTAAAAATAGCCTTGCTTATGAGTAATGGTCTCTGCTGTGACACAGCAATCTGTCTGAGCTGTGCTTTGCCAAGGAACAAAATGTGGCCCAAATTGCCCATGGCCTGTCAGTCAGGACAGATTTTCATTTTACAGTGTAAACTGTAAAAAATTCCTTATAGCCATTGGAAAGCAGATGAGGACAGACAGTAAGAGTTTAGCAGTGCTTTCCTTAACCTTCCTATTTCTCCCAGCAGTAAATGTAAGTAAGTGGTTACTGGCTTCTAATGGCAGCCACAGCACTCCACCTTAGCAGCTTCATTCGTTGGGCAAGTGAGCTGCAGGACTGACAATGGATGCAGCCCTTTTCTGTCATTAGCAGAAGAAGACAGGATATATCTAAATAAACATATTATTTGAGATCAGTAGAGCATTTTCAAAGAGGATCATCAAAACATCCCAGCTGACCACGCTTTGGCTCACACATCAGAGCAAGCTTGGAGCACAAACAAGTTTAGTTGATAGGTATTGAAACTGGAAGGGTGTGTATTAGCAGTATATCCACTGTGCCCCAGGCTCTAATGGTTGTTCAGGCCATGGGACCAGACTAGCCTCAATAAAAGATCTCCAAAATTATACAACATGGGCATGAAATCATTAGAATTGTTTCCTGCTGTCCTTCCCTTCTTGCTCAGGCAGTTGTAGGACTGGAGCCTTGAAAGGCCCCTGAAGGTCTTAGCCAGACAAGCAAGTAGAGCCCAAAAAGGAAGAGGATGGATGTTCACCCAAAAGAGGGAGTTGTTTCACAGTTTCTAAATACAGCTGTTAAAAATAATCCACAAGTTTGAGAAAAAGAGTGAGGTTGGCTTGAAACAATAATATTAAGATACATTTGGGACTTATTCAGAAAAAAAAGAAAATCATGCATTTTTGATTTTCAAAGCCATCTGAGTTCATTCTCTTCTGAAGCTGTCAAACATTTAGGGGCATTTGATAGTATTTCTAAGGTCTTCTCTGCAGATCTTAATATGAGGAGTTTATTCTTAAAAAGTAGATGAGATTCTAGAATAATCACACAGTTTCAGAATTTAAGACCTATGAAACCTAGGATATTTACAGCAAAACTACAAGAAATGCTAATACTGAATTCTCTTCTGGTCTTTGCAAAAATCAGTGTTCTTAATGCATATAAACATTTAGATCTTGCTGCATATAACTCAAAAGATTCTGTTGCCATCTTTTGTCAACATTGTTCTTGCCTAGCAATTTCCCTATCAAAGCTTTTGTAGTATTAGGATTACCATCATTTACTCTCCTTCATTTAACTTGCACAGTTAATGGAATGATATGTAGCCTACATGACTGCACAAGGACGGATATAATTAGAAAGCCATTGGAAACACATTTGGAAAATAAACTTCATTGCAGTCACTGCTGGTCTTCAAGGGTTTTGAAGAGCTCCACTATGAGGCAGGTAATTTTTGTGCCTCTTTCAGGTTGCACAAGAGGTCCTGTGCAGATTGCACAAATGCTCTGCCTTTGGTTGTGTGCTCTGTGTGTGCTGCTTTCTTAACAGAAAACCTTCTTGAGATAACAGGCTTCCATTGCTAAAACACTAACCCTTGGGATTTGGGAAAGTACAGTTATCTCCCTGTCTAACCTGTATGACATGGGTTTTTAACCCAACCATTTTAATTCAGCCATTTTAATCAGACCACCAACTGGGCTAACATTACTGCTTTCAGATTTTTTTAATGTGTTTTAAGGAAATGTTTAAGGAAAGGAGAGCTGAACAAAGCAGGCCCCCTGCTAGTCAGAGCTGAGCCTGGTCAAGGGGGACAGGTCATCACAATGTTGATGCTGGACACTAGAGGAGGTGTGTGCCTCTTCAGGTCCTTTGACACCCTCAGCCCTTAAGTCTACAACAGGAAAACCAGTGTTTGCCACCATGAAAGGTTGTTTGGTGCCCAGGGCTGTGGAAGTCTCCAGAACCTCTGCAAGTATTCAAGCCAAGCTCCAGCTACAGTTAAAGGAGTCTCTAGGGCAAGTGCAGACTAAATCAATACCACAAAAAAGCAAAAAGTAATTCTTGTGAAGGATGGAAAGTCATCTTAATTCTGCCAATGGCCAGAATGAACTAAGACAATGATTTTGCCAGCATGTTTTCAGTGCAGCTATTGTACTGAAGGAAAGAGAGCTGGGCACGTTCTTATCTTTCTCCTGCTGTGTTTTGCAGATGGCAAGCTGGGGAAAAAAAAAAAAAAAAAACACCTTTCTCTAATGATTTAAAATGCTGTTAGGAAGCAAAACATATTCAATGTCATGCAAAGATAAAAAATATGAACAAAGGCCCCGAAAGGCAAGATTCCTAGGATGCTGCTTTGCATGCCTTTTTCTACAAAGATATTTCAAGATATACATTTTAGCAGTGATTCAGCAGATCTTGTACAAGATTCTGCCTGTATCATCAATGGCCATGTCTTTAACAAACAGCCCAGTGTCCATTTTCTCTGTGTTTATCAGCCTGCCAGGGTTTGATGTGCAGCCACTCCACAACCTTGCTGCTGAGAAGAATGCAATTCCTTGGTATGGGCAGCTGGCTAGGCAAGGCCTCCTCAGGGAAACATCTGGAAAACCACACCTGTGTGCTTGTTGGATGGAAGTCTAAGTGAACAATTTATTATGTTTTTCATTATTCATAATTCAGCATACATCAGATGGACATGATTATAGTAAAATTAGGGAGTTCTCGATGCCTGGGAAATGATTGATATCTGCTCTATGGCTTTGGAATGCTGAATGTTCACTTTATTAAAACTATATTATATTACATTATACTGTATTAAAGAGAGATACTATACTACATCATACTTACTTCCTAACTTCTAACTACTGAACTGAAAACCTCGTGACTCTCTGTTCGAGAGTCCCGACTCACACTCGTGGATCTAACTGGTCACCTCAGGTAAACAATCTCCAGAATACATTCCACTTGCACACAAACACAGGAGCAGTAAATGAAATAAGAATTGTTTTGATCATTCTTTTCTCTGCTTCTCTCTGTTCAGAGGGCATGTGAATGCCACACATGATTTTTCTCTTCAGAAGATTTTTGAGTTATCCCTTGCAAGTTGGTACTTAGGTTTCAAACCAAAATCATGTCAAGACCAAGCTTCCATGACAGCCTAAGTTCACTGAAAGCAAAGTATTCAGTACATTCTTAACCTCAAATCCTGTCCTTTACCAATGGTTTCTGAAAAGCTCTATCTCCTTTAGGTGATTTATTCAAAGTACATGATTGCACAAGAGGCCTTTGTGCAAAGCTTAATTAAATTATCTAATCCTTTACTGGCAGCTAGAAATTTTTTCTTGAACCATGGATTATTCAAATACCGTCATACTGAGCAGCACCCAAAGGCTCTCAAGCCCTCATCATCAATCTTAGGTTTCTTTCTGAGTAGGAAAAGCAAAATCAAAAACCACAAGAGCATCCGTGAGAATGGCTGATTGAGAATTTCATTTGTATCCACAGTTTGAAGATCCAAGGACCATCTGATTTTCCTTTAGCAACCACAAGGGCTAATTTGGTCTAATCTGTTAAATACAATACTTTGAGTCACACGTATTTTAAGCCACATTTTCACATGCTGGCAGCAAATGAGTGTCTGCCTCTGTAGATGTGATTTTGATTATAGCAGGGATTTGTGTGTGCCAAGATGAATCTTGAAGCACCCTGCCTTACCATCCATGTGTTATGGAGCGTGGGCAGTGGGCAGGGTACTGCCCCAGCACCCAGCAGAGCCAGCTCCAATCTGGGCTCTGTCACTGGCTTGCCAAGTGACAAAGTATGAGACTGTTTGCTTACTTACAGGCAATTAGGAAGGGTGAGCACAGGGCTCACTGCATAATGATTATATATTGGTATGACCATTTTTAGACCAGTGCCTCCTCAGTTCATGACTGGGGCCTACAGGCATTATAAAGTCAGCAAAGATAACACCATAAAGGTAAATTACAAAGGTATTAATGGCATCAGCTAATATAGACTAGACCTGAGTATGAAAGCCATATATTTTGGCCAGTAGGTGGGGAATGAAAAGCTTTGTTTCAGGTAGTTAAGCATATTAAGGACATTATGCAAATAATTTGATAAATGTATCCCTATTTCTGGTTTTGTTTTTAATTTTCTGGATGACATTTTCATTTTTGAAATAATGTCTTTAGCCTATGGCCAGCTTTTCATAGCTGTTCTCAATTGCATTTGGATACATCAGAGGAACTGTAAGAGCTTCATGTGTCTCCACCTGCCAGGGGAGAGTGGAGTCATGGCACTCTTCCAATGCTAAATGCATTTCCTGGTAGCCAAAATCACTTTCCATAAATCAGACAGGACTGCCTGCATTATGCCCAAGGCTGAGGTCATGTAGGGGACCAGAAGCCAGTTCTGAGGATCTCGTTTGTGATTTGATAAAGGTTCAATGTTGAGAATAAATAGTTGAAAGTAAATATTCTAGAGAAATCTGCCAGGTGGGTGATGGAGTAGGCTTTCTGGTCTCCAGCCACTCATCTCAGCTCAGGATTCACAGAGGAGGAGCTGGGGAAATGAAGCATGCTAATGAGATCTCTCCTTTCAGCTTACAAGGAAAAGATGAAGGAGCTGTCCATGCTCTCACTGATCTGCTCCTGTTTTTACCCGGAACCTCGCAACATGAACATCTACAAATATGATGGTGAGTGATGTTTACTGGAAATCATCCTGCAGGCCAGAAAATGTGCTAGTTCTGGAAAACTACTCAATTGTCCTCCTAGTCCATAGTGTTAGTTGGTGAATATTTTGCTGATTTAACAGTTTAATTGCTGGTTTGGGCTATACCTTCTATGGAGTGTGCAGTACCCATGATGCTGGATATTGCTCCTAATAGGAGCTGACTAAACTTTTAATGTTAGTCCTCTCATACTGAGCTGTTCTTTCCCTACTCCCCATTTGAGAATTACAGTTCTTCATAGCTGGCATAATTCCCAAGAAAGTGAAGAAAAGATGAAAGGATGCCTAAAAAATTAACCAGCTTGGGCATTGCTTTCAGGGGGTGTGAAATGGCACAGAACCCTTATAAGCATCCAAAATTGCTGTATATTTTTTTATCTTTATGAGATTAAGGTATAATTAAGCAATTACAAATAAAATGGAATGTACTCCTGAGAACAGTTTTCAGCCCATAATCTGCCATTGCATTTAAAATGCCCAAGGCAAAGATGCTAAATCATTTGTCTGTGCTTCTGATCCTACTCTGATATCAGTGCTGCTTCTCTCCTGAATACTGCTGGTATATTAAGGACTTACAATTTCCCACCTTATTGTGCAGACATGGAAGTGAAACAAATCAACAAACGTGCCTCAGGCCAGGCCTTTGAACTGATCCTAAAGCCGCCATCTCCAGTCTCAGAAGCACCACGAACTTTAGCTTCTCCAAAGAAGAAAGAACTCTCTCTTGAGGAGATCCAGAAGAAGCTGGAGGCTGCAGAGGAGAGGAGAAAGGTACCTTTCCTTAAAAAAAATATGCTAGTAATCAGATGTGATTTAGTGTACAGAATAGCAGTTGAGTTTCCTGTCTGTTTGTGTGTTTTCCATTGCCATCACTGAGTCATGGTAGCCTTCATGGACAAAAATCCTTTATATGTTTATAGAAATGAATGAGTTCATTGTCCTTCAGCAGCTTGCAAGCAAGCCTCCCTGGTCTCAGTGCTGGGGAAGCATGCATTACAAAATAGACCTCGCTTCAGACAGAGGCCAAGTGGGCTCAAATGCAGTTGCTTACAATGTGAGCATAACTAATGCTTCATTCAGGGCATCTGTAATAGTTGCTCAAAGCCAGTGCAGTTATTGTGTCTGAGTTTAAGAGGCAGATCTGCAATTCAAGCAGATGCTCTTGGTGCTACCAGATCTTGACTCCTCGTAGCATCCATGGAAATTATTCACAGGGTCTGCATAAGGCAGCTAAAATGTCTTATTTATGCAATATAGAGGAACACCCTGAGTAGAGTGAGTTTGGGATCATTCCCACACACTTGAATGAAGACACTAGCATGGCACAGATGCTAAGAGGCATTTCTAGCAGTTTCAGTAGTGATGGAAATTGGCTTTCTAGGGTTTTGCACAGACTATGTCTTCCCCTCTTTACGATCCTACCCACAATGGTAAAGCTCTGTTTCATAATCACTAAGTTTGTCACATGGCATTTGGAAGAGTTGCTACACCTTTCTCACAAAGGCTGGCACAAAGGCAGCTGGAAATACCCATTAACTGCTTATTTGCCTTTCAACCAATATGTTGAAGAGGTCTTCCTTTTCTCTAAGTCAGAGCTAAATCAGGCTGCTTTTTCCTTTTACTTTTTGCAAAGAGAAAAAGACAAACTCCAGATCAAACAAGTCAGAAGATGACAATGAGACACTTATCATAGCCAGCCTGAATTGCTAGCCTGGAAATTATCAGTGTTCTATCTACACACAGCATTTGTGCTGTGTTGCACCATTTCAGAAAAGTCATGACTGGCTGCAATGACCACAGAAAAATTAAAATTGGCAATATATTGTCCTGGTTAATTCATGTTTCTTTTTGCTGATAAACAAAAGGAGAGACACAGAAGCTTTAGGATCTTCGTGCTTTCTGTGTCCTTCACCCAGGAGATCAATGTTATTTCGTGGCAAATCAGCTTGCACAGTTAAATAGGCATTAGAAACTTAGAAACCCCTTCTACCTGCCCATGGAGTCCCTTGCAGAGGGTTTCTGAAAATGAAACAAGCTTATATATCTCTTAAGCCTTTTATTTCTCTTTTAAACAATGTGATTTCTTGCTAAAACTGCTGTTAACACAACTTTTCCTGATGTCATCAAAAACATATACTGAAGTTCAGGTACAGCATCTGTGCCACAGATAGTCAGGAAAAGCAGTTCCATTCTCTTTCATTCCTGTCAGACCAGATCAGGGCCACTGTCAAGAACCTCAAGGGAATGATTACTCTGGGGTGTGGTTTGTTATGTCTCTGCTGAAGTCAGTAGATCTGGATTACTGACAGGGCTTTAAAACCTGGCACTTAATTTGGATTTGCAGTGAAACCTGACTATTCTGGACCTCACTAATTTGAACAATTCATCTAGATGATAACTGCAGTGTTGCTACATTTGTCATTTTTGCTGGCTTGCTAACAATGTCTCTGTGGTTCTAGCACACACTCATTAGCACTATCACTTCTTTCAAACAAATATTTCTGCCAGAGCATTCATTTCAGTGAGACGAGATGACTGTAAATCCAAGGAATTTCCATTTGCACTAGCACCTGCTGAGAGGGGAGAGCTCTCACTCATCCAAGTTATGATATTCCCTAAAAACTCAGTCTGTAAAGTTCCTGTGTGCTGAGTACAAATGCTCAAGTAAAGATACAGACACAGAATGAAATGACAGCAATAAAAGGCCTGATATTATGCATATACTTGGTGGAAATTACAAATTGAATGTTTCAGAGATTTCATTCCATTGATTTCATTACTGTTCATTTCTTCCTACAGAAAAACTCATCATGCAATAGATTGGTAATCAGTGATAGCAATACAGACACCTGCCATTTCTTCCCCTTGATACTATATTCATTTTGAATGAACATATAACTGAGTTATTTTAATAGACAAGATCCTGCACATTAGCATTGCAGCAGAAATGGCTGGGAAAGGAACAAAGAATAGAGCAAAATGTTTCTTTACATCACTGTTAAAAAATACCTGGTGTTCTCACATCTTAACTATTGACTTCATTTTTGCCCCAAAAAAGGCATAGTGCAGAGAAGGATAAAAAAGCAATTAGAGGACCAGAAATTCTTCCATAAGAAGATAAATTAAACAGTCCACTTCTCAGCTTGGAAAGAGACAACAGATGAAAGATAAAATATAAGTCTACAAAGTCATGAATGGTAATGAGAAGATGAATAGGAACAATTATATTCTATTTCACACAATCCAGAAGGGACAAAGCATTCAAAGACATCATCAGACAGAGATTTCAAAAAGGAATCATGTTTTCATGTATTGTTTATTTAAGATGTATTTGTTATCACAGACTGTTTAGAGGTTATTAAAATGTTATTTAGCTCAAAAATATAATAGCAAAATTGATAGAGCACTACCTTGTAGGAAATTATTATGTGAATGGAACTTGGGACTCAGGAAATATGGAACTTGCTGACTGATGAAAGCTAGAGAGATTTGCCCCACTTCATCTAGAGTTTCCCTCAGCATCTTCTTCCACTTTGTGCTGCTAGACAAACCAGGCAGACTTTTTCCAAAAGCCAGCATGGCTGTTGGTATCATACTTTTCAATCTATGTACAAAGCTGTCAGGCATGTCCTTCCAGCACAATTTTAACTCAAATCAAGTATAACTAATGGATGAGAATTGCCTTTTCAGAAAACAAGTTGCTAACGAATTTTACGCTGCTTAGGAATTAGGTTCTGGTCTGTTAATTAGGCAGTGTTCATTAATAAATATTCAAACTCATGAGACCATCTAGAGCAATACATGCACTTCAGCAGTCTCCTGCTTTGGCTTTTTCCAGTTTGTCATTTTTGTTTATTTCCCTGTAAGCTTTTACAGGACTCCTTTCCTTTTCTCTCCTTTTTTTCTCTACCTCACCTGACAGTCCTGACCTCATCCTCTCAGAGAGTTTCACCTGAGGCATTTTTTATTTTTTGCATTACACAGCAAAGCCCATTTGAGCTAGTTACAGATTAGTCCTTTCCATTTATAGAATCCTCTTTACAGCATGTCATTATTATCTTTTTTTTGTTTTTTGGCATATGTGTGCTATATTTTTCTACCTTGGTGGATAATCAGAAAGAAATTAGAGCACTGTAACATTGTATGGAGCAGAAGTTTTTCTTACAGAATATTTAACATTTATCAATTTTTACCCATTGGCCTTGAATGTTCAGCTGTTACTATTAGTGGTGTAGAAACTTCAAGGGGCATATGTCAAATTATTTGTTTTTATTGTCTGTGTTCAATTTACTTAGTAGCATAAAAAAGAAACACTAAAGGGATGTGCATTTCTTCTAGACTGTGGATTATAGACGAGAAATTGTATGTAATTAAATCCTTTTAATGGCTTTGTATTGGGATGAAACTGAATCAAGCTTATCCCTAGAGCTTAGTGTGACGAAGAATGCAGGAAAACAGTCATTTTTTTTTAATTTCATGCTGTTGGATACAGACTTCCAGCTTCCTGGGTTTTTAATGCTGTTGCAATGAAATGCCACAAGACAAGCCTGCTGTCCAGCCTGGGCCAGGCTCATTGTGCTCCCCACAGCTGCAGCCAGCCCAGGGCATCTCTGCCAGCTTCAGGACCACACTCAGTGCTGGGCTTCAGCATCCAACTCATTGCCCCTTTGAGCCAGCCCCACACCTGCCCAGAGGGGGCTCTTGGTACTCTTTACCATCTCTGCTTTTCCACCCATGTTTAGTGTCCTGTACAGGAGGCTGCTGGGGGAAGGCAGGGAAGGCAGCAGAGCTGGGGGACAGATGTTCCTCCCTGGACATTGCATGGCACCTACAGAACTGCTGCTCCAGGTGACAGGCAGAGAAGGGATGTGCTCCTTCCCTGTCAAAAGTCAAGCTTTCTCCTTCCATCTCATTTCTGTTACCCTTTCCCACCAAATTTTAAGGTGAGAAGAATGGGAATGAAGATAGGCAATGCCCAAGACATATGTCTCCTGTCTTGCCCACCCATTGATCTTCCTTTCTATTGCTGCTGGCCCTCAGCTGTGCTTCTGCAGAGAAGTAACACAGCATGAAGCATTTTTCCTTGTAAAGGTCCCAGTAATAGGTGTAATCAGCACCAGAAACAGATGTTTCTGTCACATTTTGCTTTACACCATAGTGTGTCAATACACAGTGGTTCTCTCCTAAGTAACCAAAGATAGCAAAAATTCCAAGAAACTTCACAGTTCCTCACCCAAAACCACATGTTAGCCTATGGAATATGGGCCTGTAGGAAGATGTTTGCTACCAACAAGGAGAGGATTTGGTGTTAGGCACCAAATGTCTCAGACCACATTGAGCGAGGAGCATGCATCCCACTGCTGGCAAACCTTCTCTGCCCACTCTGCCATGGGCTCTGCCACTAATGAACAACAGTAAGACAATTTGACATTGATCCTCATTAACTTTATAATGCCAGGCCTCAAACTGCAGCAGACCATGAGGGCAGAGGCTCAGGTGGTGCTTCTTGCATGCTCCGAACCTGCCTTGTTCACCCCCACAGGTCAAACCATGAGAGCAGCAATTTTGTGCCAGCTGAGGAAGAGAAAGTTTTCTTGAATCACAACATGGATGGGCTTTGTTTTTTTCCTCCACATCCCAAAGGTTATTTGGCAGACTGTACAAAAATAAATTGAAAAAAGGAATCCCCACCTAAATTTAAGCAAAAATTTTCATTATCTAGCTTCACTAGAAGCAGAGCTTCACCCATAGTTACAGATCACATGTCTCTGGCTCTCCTGCCAAATGGGTATTTCTGAGAGAAGTCTAATTTGAGACCATTCCCATGCTTCTACATGGAAAAATCCCAGCCTCAGTTCCTTCCACTGAAAACACCAGTACTTCAAGTCACCATACCAAGGCTTCACCTTGGCATTTGCATTGCAGTAGGAGCCTTTCCTCCTGTCTTCACAATCTGTCCATTAATAGTGTCTCTTAGATACACAGTGTATTGAGGAACACAAACATTTCTGCAGCTTCTTCTGAACAACTGCATTGTTTAAAAAAAAAAACAGTCAGTGATAAAATGTGCTGTGAAAGAGGAGGACTAAGACAGCCTAGTAACCAAAGGTACTGGTACCTGAGGTTGAATGCATTTGAGCTGAAATTTCCAGCTTAAAAACAGTTGTCTGAACCCATTTCTTGTTTAAGAGCAATAAAGGATTAATTTTAACTCCACATTAATTACTTCAATATTTGGATATGTCTGTCAAACAAAGATAGATAGATGTGAGAAAATAAAGCATCTCTTACTCAGATTAGGAGAATTTTCTTCATGTGAGTAATAATTAAACAATATATCTCCAAAGCCAGTTTCCATAACTAATTTTGCTCATGGAGTGTTTAGTCTGCATCTATCTCCAGCCATCTAGGTACCAGATGTAGATTTCCTTTTGAACCACTCATCTCTGAAAACTGAAGATGCACAAGATCCCTTAAATAAATATGACATGAATATCACAGGAGTTTGCCTGCACTTTTAGCACATCAGTATGTTTCTTGGAGCAAAGGTATCTGTACCAGGACTATTCTCCAGTATTTTTATTCCTCCATATTTAATTATTAACTAATAAATATTTTTGTTTCTCCACATTATTTTGTGGCCTTTTAGTACCTTAAGGAGGCTTGTAAAATGGAGGGGAAGTGATTTGTTCCAAGCACAGATAGTGATAGAACAAGGAAGAATGGTTTTAAACTAAAAGAGGGGAGATTTAGATTAGATGGTAGGAGAAAGCTCTTTAATGTCAAGGGCTGAGGCAGTGACACAGGTTGCTCAGAGAAGCTGTGGGTGCCCCATTACTCAAAGTGCCCCAGATGAGGTTGGATGGGGCTTTGCACAACCAAGGAAGATGTACCTGCCTGTGGCAGGGGGTTAGAACTGGATGATCTTTAAGGTCCATTCCAGTTCAAGACAGCCTATGATGCTTTGATTTTATGATGTACCACTGGATGCTGCAGCTGCAGCTGCATTGGTTATGCCTTGTTATATTTAAGAAGTGTTCTGAACATTTCCCCTTGAATATTGCTTTTTTGCTCCACCATTTCATATTTTTCTCTCCTTATTAGTCTTCTTTATCTTTCATCTTGTTTAGCCCTTTTTTTTCATTTTCTCACCACATCTGTATAAGAAACACCATAAGCAGTATACAACTGTGTAATAACTATAAAAAATTTTGAAAATATCCTTTCCAGCACTTCAAACAGTGTCGAAAATAAAATGAAAACCTCCTATGGTTGTTGGAATCTTGCATCACTGTGGAGCTGTGTGAGTCCAAACACAGCCATTTAAAATCCAAAACAAACAACAAAGGGAATCTATTAATCCCAGCTCCCCTGGGTATCCATGGTCATTCATTTACCCATTTCTGGATGTGTAGTAGACTTTGAACAGACAGGGTGGCCAAGTTCTTTTGCCAAATGGGCTGGAAACAGAAAATAATTTGACAATCCAGTACAAACACATAGCAGGCGCCTTCCAGAATTGTCATAAGGGGATTTCAGAATGATCTGAGCACCAGGGAAACAGGCAGACTGACAGCTGGGGTACAAGGCCATTAGAGAAGGGACATCAGTCTGAATAATGACATTGTACCCTGTGGATGTTTCATGGCAGGAAGGGGGGGTTCCTTTATTTTGAACCAGTACCAGTGATTTTCCTGTCTCAAAATTCGTCACAATGTGCCTTTAAAGACATTGTAAAGGAAAATCACATTAGGGATTTACAGTCACTTCCTGAGGCCTGGTTCAGCTTTCAAGTAGTCTCTTTCTGGTGCCAACCCAATTTGCATCCAGTAAATACTGAATTAGAGGATAAGGATTTTCTTCATTATCATGAATTATAGGACAAATTACTTTTGAATGTACTGTCTGCCAGCACAGCATCCAGAAATGCGTGTACTTTGATATGAAGCTCTAATTTTTCACTGTTCTCCAGGATTTATGATAAAAAGTCTTTCCAGAAGGCAAAGGGTTTGAATGAAGAAAACAAATCTTGAAAAATGGGCAAGTGCCTCAAAATCTCAAAGGCATTTTGCTGCCTCCATTGAAAGCAAATGCTCTTTTAAAAAATGCTTATCTGCATAGTCCAAATCTTACTTTTTATTAGTGCATGGCTGTGTCCTTGAAAATTGTTTCCCAAATCTGGAAAGGTCTGATTTTATAACACATTATACATGCATATTTAAACACTATGAAATGTTAGCCTTTCAAATTAACAAGTCACTTCTGAAATGTTTCATGGGAAAGGACATTACATTAAATTAGTCTAATGGTGTCTTTTCTAGTCAGCCTCCCAACAGGAAAATAAATGCCTTCCCAGACTATCCATTACTTTTAGATCATTTAAGCAAAGGGTTCACAAAATTCATATCAGCAAACAAAATTTAATGATTGTAACTTTTCCAACAGTAGACTTTTGAGAGATTGCTGTTGAGTAGTAAATTAAACAAAAAAATGCAGAATAACTTTAGAAGCACTAGTCAAACTGGGCCACCCAGGTTTGTCCACAAGTGGGAAAGAGAGATGAAAATATTTAATTATTTCAGGTTTACATTGCATCAGATCTCAAAATAACTTTTTTGCTTAGTAAATTAACCTACGGTTAAGAACTGTTAAATGCTAAGTATCTGAAATCAAACATTTTGTTTCAAAATAAACTACTTTTATTATATTAATATTAAATTTTTTGATATTTTTATTAAACTTATGGGGCTTATATGATTTTTTAATTGGTTTACAAAATTCCTTCTTTGCCTAGCTCTACTTGTCTTTGGCTCATCCTTCTTCTATTTTCCACCAGTGAAATTCCCTCTGCTTTTGGCTTCATCTATCTGAGGGGTTTTGTTCCCATTTGCAACATCTTTAATCTGGCACAACAGAGTCAGAGACATGAAAAATGCTCACTCTATTACTCTGTTCAGCATATGCTGCAAGGGAGAGAGGAGGCAGGAAGAGTCTCAGGGAGGCACCAGCCTTTCCAGGAGACCATTCCTGCCAGCAGGTGCTCCAGAGATCAGTTTGGGAAATGGAGAAATGAGCTTGTACCTGTAGCCAGGCCAGAGGTGAAACTCATTAAGTGATAAGGATGGATGGAAGTGCCTCTCTCCTATCTCAAGCAAGCCATTACAGCCTTTCAAAGCCAGATGTGTTTTATCCCAGCATCTTGCTGCAAGGTGTTCTGCCTTGCCTTTGCAGCCTTTTCTAGAATCTCCTTAATTTGCCCTGCCAGTGCATTTTGTTCTATGCATATCTTACTTTCATTAAAATATTTGTTTTCTTCTAGTTGAGTCTTGCTCATATAAAAGAATTGCAGCCTTTTTCAGTCCATTTAAAGCCACACAACAGAATTTAAAAGGTTTCATTACCACAAATTGTAATTAATGGTTAAAACCCTTAATTTAGGCCATAAACTAACTCATTTTTATGGATCACAATGGCAACAGTGCCTTGGGATCAGCACTGAAATACACATTTAGCCTCCCAGTGTCCTATTTCATTCCCAAGTTTTTCTGTTTCTTCTCATGCTGCTTCTCATATATTTTATCCAAAAGCATATGATGTTGTTCATCCTTTCCAAATAATTGCCTTTTCAACTAGCCTGGAGAATGGGCCCAATGCTGCAACTTTTTGGCTTCTTTCCTAGGATTAGTGGTTTCCTGTTAGAAATTTGATTGAATATACATAAAAAAAGCTTATGCTTCTGAGAAGTGAGTTTGCAAGGGAGAACACAATATTAAGCATAGACTGCATCTGTTTAATTCCTACTTGCAGTTTTCATCTTCCTTGAAAAATCAAAACTTTTAACTAAAAATTTTTGGTATTTTCTATGCAATAAAACACTTTTTTTCTCTTCCTAATCAGTGAGATTAATCTGAATATAAATGTAATGGGAAGAAACATTGTCTGAATTGATGCTGCCTGTCTTTCATGTCAATGAACTTCCAAACCTGTTATTAACTATTCCAGCACATTATAGAAGAGTCCAACCTGGTTGAAAATTGCACCTGTCCTGCATCAGTAATCTCCACAGAAATTACTCTGTGCATTTCTTCAACCCCAGGTCTCTGTCTCTAAAGATAAAAGGCCTGTAGCTAAGACACTGCATCTGTCAGAGGTTGAGCAAGCACAGCAGCAATGCAGGCGAGCCAGGGCAGCAGCACAGCAGCATTCCTTGTTAACAGAAGAGCTTTGGACATTTCTCTGCTGCTGTCTCAGGCGTGTACCCCACATTCAGCCAGTGCTTCTAAACCTAAGGCCAACCTGGTTCAGTCACAAAGTGACCTTCTAAAAAAAGGCAGCAAACCTTACACAGTTTCCACACTCAGGGAATTGCTGCCCTATGGCAAGGAACCGTGCTCCTTGGCAACATGGCAACATGCTTTGCTCCACAGGAGTATTTCTTCTCAGCCTGTGTCTCTGTTTCCAGTCCCAGGAGGCCCAGGTGCTGAAACATCTGGCAGAGAAGAGAGAACATGAGCGAGAAGTGCTTCAAAAAGCTTTGGAGGAGAACAATAACTTCAGCAAAATGGCAGAGGAAAAGCTGATACTGAAAATGGAACAGATCAAAGAAAACCGTGAAGCTAATTTAGCTGCTCTTATTGAACGCCTCCAAGAGAAGGTAACCACACCATCACTCCTCACCTTAGACTAGAGAGGGAAAGCTAATCAATATTTTGCAGAGATGTTGTGCATAGTCCTTATCTCAGCTGCTACATTTGAGCTGTTTTTAAGTCAGAGCTACTGATGCCTGTCTAAACCCCAACTCAGTTCAAAAAAGGACTGAAGTGCTACAGTCACACAATCACAGGATGGCTGAGGTTGGAAGGGCCCTCTGGAGATCATCTGATCCAACTCCAGGCTCAAGGGGGGGCCACGAAGGACCAGTTGCCCAGGGCCATGTCCAGGTGGCTTTTTAATATCTCCAAGAATGAGGACTCCAATTCCACTCTGGTCAACCTGTGCCCGTGCTCGGTCACCTCACAATGACAAAGTGTTCCCTGATGTTCAGAGGAAACCTCATGGGTTTTAGGTTTAGCCCATTGCCCCTGATCATGTCACTGGGCACCACTGGAAAGATCCTGGCTCTGTGTTTGCTTCATTCAGGTATTTATAGATATTTGTAAGATCCCCCTGAGCTGTCTCCAAACTGAACAATCCAGCTCTCTCAGCCTTTCCTCATAGCAGAGACTGAGAGATGCTCCTTAATCCTCATGGCCCTTTGCTGGACTGTCTCTAGGGAAAGGTTGGTTTTCTAGCTTTTAAGAAGTTCTGTGAACAAATGAAAGGTCACTTGTGTTTAGATTTTAGCTTCTAAGAAAAGTCACTGATAAATCAAACAACTGCCCTATGTCTGTAATTCTTGGTTTCTCAGAGGAGAAAGATGAAAAATTACGAAAAAAAATCTTTCATATACAGCAAAAGAGGTATGTCTTTCCACAAGTCTTGCAAGGAAGAGAGTAAATTTTCCTATGGAGATCATTGGTACATCCAGAGGAAACAGGGAATCACAAACCGTAGATGCAGGATGATGTCCTTCTCCAAAAAAAACCTTCCACACAAGGGAGAGAAACATGCAAATAAAGATTTAGAAGTGTTAGGGAAAAAATTAATTAGTTCTGCATGAGTGACCACTTGTTTCAATAATGAACTTTCCAATATACTCTGGTACACTATTTCAATAGTAATTTGGCTAAAGAAAATAGCTCTCAGAGGTTTTCAAGGCGATCTTCATAAGCACCTCTACATCTGTGATGCAGACAAAAGTCTTTGAGAGTAGGAAAGAAACAACAGATTCCAAAGGATGATGTTACAAGTAACTACACAAACAGGATAATTCTTGAGCTTAAGAGCTATACCCAGATTGCTTGACATTTTTGCATTAGCTTCATTTGCAGGCACATACCCAGACCTTATGAAAACAAAGGGAAAAGCAAATTAGTTATTCTCAAGGTCCAAAAGGAAGTGGGAAGGACAGCTGATGCATCTCTCTGTCCTAGGTTAATGTTAGCAGACTGTTAAACCCTGAATGTGATAGTATATATACATGAAAGCCAAGAAAGACTTCTGAGGAAAGATGACAGTAACTTTCTGGGAAACATTTGCTCTGACCAGTAATTAAAAAAATACAATTCTGTCAACACCAAAGCATCAAAAACAAATATAATTTGCCAACATCGAAAGCGAATTCTTAATATACAGAAAAAGAAGTGAGATATCTGGTTCTAAGTCTTCCACAGTTACACAGAGGTGTGGGTTCCCCAAGGTATTGGTGTCTAGAAGCTACTGCAGAAATAACTTCTGTATGCTGCACTTAATAGGAACACCAAGCAACAAATCCCTTGTAAAATTTAGCATTCAGTATTACAAATCTTTAAAGGACTGATTTACATATTAAGTTAGTGCAATAGGTGATATTCTTCGTCATAGGCAGAGAAAGACTCAAGAGATCAGGTAGCTTCAGTGTTCAGACTAAGGAAATTATTGAGATGTTCAGATTGATTTACCTCATTGAAACTAAGTTCTTGGATCTTTATTACAGTTCCTAAATGCTACAGATAACAGAGTAACTAACATACAATGTGCAGGAAATTAATTCCACACTCATCCTTCCCTATATTTAGTTTAATATCCAGGAATTCAAAGGGCAAATGTGAGCATGGGGCACAATTTATGCTGCAAGCAGCACCTCTCTATGTGGCCCTTTTAAATGAAACTCTGTGAGGCACTGAGGATTATAAGGCCATATCAGATAAAAGACTGAGCTCCAGAGCAGGAGTAGAAAGTAAACACAAAATTTGCCTCAGGCTGGTCTGGTGGATGACACTTCTCCTGTGTTGCTTCTTTTAAAGATGTTTGTGCTGAGAAACAAGTTTTGCACAAGCATCAAATGCATGACCTAAACAGGTTGTCAGCATGAACCTTCCTGGGCAGGTGGAAGGAGAAAAAAATTTGATTTTTCTGGTTTTGATGTTTTCCAGGAGAGGCATGCTGCAGAGGTCCGTAGAAACAAGGAGCTCCAGGTGGAACTGTCTGGCTGAAAACAGCAATGGTGGATGTGACCCATCCCCACCATTAGTAAACTCCCCCTGCCTATATTATTATGGATCATGCGATATAAGTATGGGAAATGTATGACGTGGTTTAAAAAAAGGTAAAAACAAGAACTCAATAAAAAACTTTAAAAAGAAACAAAAAAAATAAAAACAAAATCAATGCGGTCTCTTTGCAGAATGATTTGCTTGATGTTTAAAAAACTTGGATCTTATTTTGTAAATACTTACATTTTTGTTAAAAAATACAATTATTGCATTATGCAAGTTATTTCATAATCTTACATGTCCTGTAACAGGCTTCTGATGTTGTCTATTTCCACTCGGTTGAATTTGCTGGGTCTGTTCATTTGAAGCACCTCGTGTCTAATTCCATTCCCTGCGACTTCTCATTCCAACCCACCATGAGGTCAGTAGTAGTTCTATGGTGCTAGAGGCCAATCATTGCCTAATAACCTAGACTGCTTTGCCATCTATAAGCTTCCTTGAAACAGTGACTAGATCACAGGTATTGTGACTTCACGTTCAGCTGTCCAAGACAAAAGGCTCTTAAAATGGTTTTTCAAATGCAACTTATGCTGCAGGGCTCTGTACTGTGCTGTACAATTGAGGTTGAATCGCCACACAGCGTGTTTGTTGCTTCTGCTCTTTGAGGTGAGAGGCAACAAAAACATCTGTGCAGCAGAATGAAATCAAGCAAAATCAGTTTGAGACAAATTTAAGAGGCACGTTGTAACCATCAAGCTGTGACAAGTTTTGGATGATGCCAAACAGCCATACAAATGCTAATTGTAAAGTGAGCTTAATTCACCACTTGAAAATTTATTGATGGAGCAACTAATAGATAGCATCAAGTGGCTTTATCTGTAGGTGCCATGATCTATGATACTTATCTGATGCTACCACATTACATGTGTAATAGTACAAGAGGCTACCGAGTATTTCACCTGGAACCCATGAGCCAGTTGTTACTGTTTTTTTATGACACTGCTGACTTCCATTCATCATGACCTTTACTCTTCAGTGTTAGCCAATCCTACCTAGGGACAGACATCTAGGACTAAGAGGGCTGAAGCAGGAGGAATGACTAGACAGGGTGCTTGTGCCAAGTACAATATCACCAAACCCAACACATCATCCCCAAAATAGCTGCAGTTTTGAAGTTGTCCCTACCCCCCCTGGAGGTTGCTGCCTGCATATTCTACTCTTCATTAGTGCTATTTTCCTGTATGTCATTGTGAGCAAGCTGTGATTAATAAAGAATTGGGGTTCTGTGAACTGAAAAAGGGCTTGTTTCTTCTCTGGCTCCATTACGTCTCTGGCATGTGCCCATGTAAGGGGAAAACCTAATGTAGTCATAAAAACATGGAAATGAGACTAAAACAATTATTAATAGACCAAGCCTATTTCTCTGCTAATATGGGACTAATCCCTGCTATGCCTTTTCCAGTGCTTAGGCTGGCTTTTTTTAAAGATTACCATATAAACTGAGCCTATAAATGTGACCTCTAGCATTGAGTTTATTAAAAAAGAACTGGCTATATACACATGCACATGCACTCCTTAATCCTGACTCAACACTGGGGGAAAAATGGAATTTGGGGAAAGAAAAGTAAATAATCTGAGTATGTACATCAATAACTACAACAAGATCCTGGGTGTTAACACACTGGTTTTCAGGGTGGAAAACATTAATTTATAGGATTTATTGAAGAAAAAAATCACTTGGGTTTCTGCTGAGCTACAGAGTGGAGATGTAAAATTGAATCAGACCCTATTTTGAATTGGACAAGTGATAAAAAATTATCTCTAGGATTAGTAGAAAACTAAACTAATTATGTGAAGTCATTAAAGTCGCGTCATTTACTTGCTCTTTTAGAGAAGTGGACTTTATGCTCTAGGTCTGCAACAGTCAGTTTTTTATTTTATCAGATTATTTTGTTTTGGGGCCAAGAGTTGGCCTGCAGTCAAAACAAAGAAGTTGAACGTGGAGAAAGGCTGTGAGCTCAACTCTGTGTGCAGTGAACTCAAAACCGCAGAATGAAATGAGTACTCCAGCTTGTTAAGCAGCTAAATTACTTATCTTTCTCATGAAATTTCCAGAAGTAAACCTGGCATGGGAGCCAGATAGCAGACGTTGAGTCTGGAAGACATGAACTTCCATGTTGCCAAGCCTATAAAGTTTGTATTTTGCTTTAAGCCCCAGTTAAAAAAAAAAAAAAAGACATTATTGTAATTAAATTTAAGGTCCAGGATCTTAGCTTGAGGTATTGTGGATTCTGTTTTCATTTCCCAATGGCAAGCCACTTACAGTTTTCCCTGTCCACTGATTTAACAAATTCTGGAAGTACTTCAAGCCCTTTTCCTGGCTGTGGTTGCTCAGAGAACAAGCCAAGAACAAATCTCTGCTGGTGAGCCAAGCAGGGCAACCTGCATCACTTCCATGGGGTTCAACTTTCTTCCTCTCCAAAAAGGGTGTCCACACCCAAAGTGCCAACTGGGATGGTCTCCAGCACACTCTTACCCCACCACAGAGCTGTGCTTTGCCTGGTAAGCACTTCTCAACAGATACCAAGGCTGCACCAGGGAAAAGAGTGAAGAACCAGACAGTGGGAACATTGCTGCCCCAGGTCACAAACCATGCTCTGCTCCTGCTCACTTGGCTCTTTGAACAGTGGAGGGTCTACAATTCATTTCATTAATACAAAACTATGCTTTGAAAGCCTGTTTGCAAATACACTGCCTATTTAATCTCTAATAGCAAAAAGAAATAGCTGGAGACCTGCAGGATAGCCATTTCCTTCTTTTACTCCTGTTTCTTTACATTTCCTTATATTTTGCTTTACTACTGCCTTTCTAGGTCCTCCCTGCTTGTGCTAGCAGGGAGGAGCTAGAAAGTATTGTGGGCATGGGTCTCTCTTCATGTGTAGCTACAGATTAAGAATCTCCTTGAAAAGTAAGAAAATATAAAACACCTGCTTTTAAAGTATTACTATTTGGGTAAGACAGGGCTTTTTTAATTCAATGGCAACCATTGGGTTGGGTTCAGGGCTTTTAGATCAAAAAAATTAGACTTCTTCTTTGATTAACTGTAGATGCCCAAGTCCATGCCATGAGCTGTGAGTAGCTGCTGCTGAGCTGCAGAACATTTCCCACAGACTGCCTGAGACCTCCCACAGGACGGGAGGGAGGCTGGAGCACTGGCATTGCACCACACAGATGATTCCTCCTTTCACTGGGCTCTATGATGGCTCAGAAGCAGAGCAGAGCTGTGCAGCACATCTAGAGAGACACTTCTGGCCTCTGACCTCTGCAGGTCCAAGGACTGCCACTCCAGGCTGGTTTAGGTTAGATCTCCTCTTGGTTAACTCATCAGTTGTGTCAAAGCTGCCACGAGGTGACAGCCTGAGAAATCAAACAGGAATGGCTCAAACCTGTCACACTTCTCATGGTCCTACCAAAGCCACAAAATCTATGGTCAAACCAACTCATAGAATCCTAGAATCATTTAGGTTGAAAGAGACATTTAAGATCATTGGGTCCTGGCATCATTAACCTGGCACTCCAACTCCACCACTAAACCACACCCCTGTCACGTCTCCACATCTTTTAAAAACCTTCAGGGATGGCAACTCTGCCACTTCTGTTCCAGTGCTTGATAACCCTGATGTTGAAGAATTTTTTCCTGATATCAGAGTCACAGTCCCAGAATCATTTATGTAGGAAAAGACAATTTAGTCCAACCTATGACAAAACATGTCAACTAGACCATGGCACTGTGTACATGTCCAGTCTTTCCTTAAACACATCCAAGGATGGTGACTCCACCACATCCCTGGGTAGCCCATTCCAATATCTAATTACCCCTTCTGTGAAGAATTCCTTCATAATATCCAATCTGAACCTCCCTTGGCACAACTTTAGGCCATTTCCTCTTGTACAGTCACTTGTTAGCTGGGAGAAGAGATCAACCCCTCTACAACCTCCAAATATTTCCAGAGTCAGGAGGTTTGGATGTATGGTTTAAATCCATCACCAGTTCAGAACCTGAAAACAATGCCTTTTCTCTCCCCTTTGTTATCATGCTTCTTGTCCCATGGAGGGTTTTTTGTTGCTTTGTTTTAGAATGACTGGAAGAAAATGCTAACCCTTCTATAGCCAAATAGCATTGTCTGCCCGTTCCCTCACCCCAGAATCCCCAAACATGTGGCTGATGTGCAGCAGCATTGTACACACACTCAGAGCTGCCTGCCTGACTGCCATCCAGCAGCCCTATCAGAGAGATGGGCTCTGTCATCAGCACAGGAGAGTTTTACTCCCAGCACCTAAACTACGCAGAGAAGAGAGGAACTTCTCTCCCCTAGAAGGAGTGAGACGTTAGGGCAGCATGAACATCTTTCTCATCCCACTGTTGCCACATCCCATCATGTCAAATCAAACCCTCCCGTCAGGTTTTGATGGAGAGAAGCAAGGATTGCACAGGAACAGGCAGGCCCCACATCCACCTTGCACCACATGCCCTGTCCTGAGCATATTCCAGTGGTGGGAAGAGGAGACATTCACTCAGCAGAGGGGATATTACCAGGGGGATATTGGGACAATTTTAGGCAACTTTCCCCGTGCCTCAGGGCTGGTAACACACTGATGTTGGTGCAATACTGCCATGCAGTGGTCAGAGTTTACAAGGGGGAGCATCTCTGAATACACCAGGGATTGATTGCAAGGATTTCCTCTGAAGAATATCCATCCCATCTGCTGCACAATTTACACTTTATATAAGGTAGATGATGGTTTTAAAATCTAAAGCCTGAGTCCAGACATTTTCAGGTTTAACTCCTATGGAACAGGAGTGGAATGACCACAGATAGCTGTAAGTCGAAAGTAAGGACTGATATTTTTGTGTGGAGCATGGAGCAGCCAGAATTACAATTATTGCAACACCACCATCAGAAGAACTCCTGACTATGATAATTCCTGCATTACTGAAACTTCAAATATGTCTAGAAACCAGCACAGTGCACAGCAGCCAGCTCAGAAAAGAGACTGAGACAATTATAAAAGCAATGTCTGAAGTACAGGGAAGGGCAAAAGAAGCTACATGAGGAACCATCAGCAGATTAGGGGATAAATGAACTGTGAAACAAATCTCACATTTGAAAAGTAGTTTTCATCTCCCAGTGAAGGAGAGAGCATGGTCATCCTTGAAGCTGTCTCCCTTGAAAAACACTGAACTCTTTCTCCATCCCCACACCAATTCTTGGAACTAGGGCACAAGACAGAGGAACATAAAATCCAACCCACATTATATATGTGTGTGTGTGTGTGTGTGTGTGTGTGTGTGTGTGTGTGTGTGTGTGATCCATAGCTCTGTGAGCAATAGGAGCCAGAACATGCTTGGATTATCCATGGATTAGGGGGTTCTCCAGTGTGCAGTAAAATGCCTGTGCTCTAGCTATTCATAATTCCAGTGCTGTGCTGAAGCTCTGATGCCATCTGATCTTTTAGTTTTCCTCCTGGGAGATTCATGGAGATTCCTTTTACTATTCAAAGACCATAGGAATGCAGATAATAGATAATTTACTTAAGGAAGCATTTGCCTGCTTCAAGTTGTCCTGGTTCAGTCTACAATATAATGCCATGCTCTCCTTTTGGATGGCAGTAAGTAGCTGCTGGAAAATGTCTTCCTGCTGTAGCAGTTTGGCTTTGGTGAAATGAGTCACAGAAAAGGGATATCCTGGGCTACTCTTGACGGAGACATGACAGGCATTATCCCAGATACAACCTAGACAAATGTGATATGAGGAAACAGCCAAGCTACAACTTAAATTTCTTTTAGCTATTATAGTTACAATGGATTTTTAAACAAACTTTGAAAAATAGGTTCACTCTATCAAAATACCCTCTCAAAATAGTTCTTAAAAGACACAGCTTTCCAGTAAGTTATTTAGATAATAATTCCTACATATTCACAAAAGCTAAATTTCCCCATGTACAACTGCTTCTGACCAGAAGATGGCAATCTCTTATTATTTAATAGGCAACTACAGATGGTAAATTTTATTTTGAAGAGCCTTTCAACCTCTGCAGAATCCTGAAATCCTACTGTGTGGAGTCTGATGTTCTATATTTACCCTAAAATATGGGCTTGGGTTTATATAAAACATAAAAGATAACACTTTTCCCTTGGGCAAAATTCATTGCTTTTGCTACATTTCCTTAAAAATACAGCACTGGCAGACATTTTAAAAAACCTGAAGGATAAGGTGGCCATATGAATAAACAGGTT